AGAGGAGAAGGTAGAAATGACTCAGCCTGGAACTGAAAATGTGGATGGAGGACAACAGAGCTGCTTCATGGAAGCTTAGCCTGTTAGCCTTTGCGCTAGCGCCAATGCTATATTGCCTTATATGTATTAGCTAGTTGGCGCTAGCATGACTAATAAGCTAAACTGTTGTCCTCCATCCATATTTTCAGTTCCAGGCTGAGTCATTTCTACCTTCTCCTCTCTGTCAACGCTCTCTGGTTTCATTTAAAAGAGTCGATCATCAGATATTGTCCAAGATTAACCCTCAGGGTGGATATAGCTTGCTAGCAGCCTCGCACCGAGGACCTATCCACGTCATCATTTACCCAGAATGCTTTGCGTGTACATAAAATGGCTCCGTCTGTGTTCAAATATATTTTCAAAAATTTACCAAACTGAACAGGCTGCAGTATTTTAACAGTCTTTATTTTATAGTTAAAATAAATATTTATCAAATAAAGTCTAATCAGGATCCCTTTAAAAGACTTGTACAAAAATAAAAGCATAAAAGATGATTAGCAGCTATTCCTGAACATAGCTGAACAAAATCAAAGTATCTATTGTTTGCACACTGGCAAAATGTTCTTGCAGTGCAAGAAGGGGTGGGGTGAGGTACTTCCTGTAAAAAGGGCTGAGAACTGCATAAACTGTGCTGATGAGTTTGCTTTAGCTCTATGACGCAATATAAATCTGTGATTCCTTAGATCTTTTACAGACCTCAGAAGAGACCACAGCCTCTTCTCCTTAGCCACGCCCACCTCTGTCAATGACCTTTTGATTTTTTGGGACGCCACCAATAAAGAGATGGAGCCCCACATCAGGAACAAAAATGCAGAGTTCAGAGGGCAGGACTACAAGCTGAACACATGGCACTCTATCTGCACCACCTGGGACTCGGAGTCCGGACTGGTGCAGATGTGGTTCGATGGACAACCTTCTATTAGGAAATTTGTCGCCTCGGGAGCAAACATCAGAGGTCCTGTTATAATTATTTTAGGACAGGTAAAAGTTTTATTCCAGAGCCAATAGTCTTTATAATTCAGAACTGATATTTAAATTATTCACTGACAAACCTCGGTGTTCCTAACAGGAGCAGGATGCACACGGCGGTGGGTTTGACCAGAAACAGTCCTTTGTTGGCATGATGTCTGACGTCCACATGTGGGACTACACCCTCTCTCGCTGTGAGATCCAGAACTATGTGGACCAGCGAAGCTTCACTCCAGGAAATGTGTTGAACTGGCGCGCCCTGGATTTTCAGATTACAGACAAAGTGCTGATAGAAAATAAAGAAACTGTCTGTTACTAAACATTTGAAACCACTGTTAGTCGAGTCTGTGGCTTTATGTCCAATGTGAAAAATTATCAACCTAAACTGTTTCTGTTACTGTAAGAAATCTAGTGTTCAATGAACTGAATTTGAGACGATAAACAACACAGATGTTAAATAAATGGATTGTGAAAAGAATGAAAACCATACAACACCAGAATCTGGAATCAGAGAGGAGGTTTATTGCTGCTCAGGCAGACAGGAAACCCACGCTGGCCATAAACCCGGAAGTTAAGTATACATACAGCTTCTTCAGGGCCTTCGCTCGCCCCCTACTGGCCTACGGCTGAGTCACAGGCATTCAGACAAAATTCTCACCTGATGTATTCAAGCGGTTATTTATGTGTTGACAAATGTTTCGGACATGTAGCTAGACCTATTTTAATCAAGACATAACAATAGAGTAACACTGTTAACATTTCAACAGGAGAACTAAGAATATAGTGTTGTGCTTCTAAAATCAGTACTAACCTACCTATAACTACATTTCTTCACATTACATCATTGCTTAAAAAAATGACAAGTTCTATTTTATTTTTTACATCTATAATCCTGTGACAAATTATGAAACTGTTCTGTTTAATTCAACGTAAATAAAAATAACAATTTTTATTCATGTAAGATGATTGATTCAAACAATTAAAGCCAAATATGTTTTTAAATCAAATAAACAACGTACTAAGCTTAGATAGAAAATTACTTTTATATTTTAATCATGAAATCTCAAAACATATGCCGACTACTATGTTTTTCTTATAGAAACAACACTTTCTTCTCACAAGTCAACAGTTCAGACAATGTGTATAAAATATAACAAAAGTCCACTTTAAAAGACCTGAACTATCTTTCATGTGTCTTTCTGAGTTAACTCACTTTTATTCAGGTACCTACACAAAAATACATTTCTGCTATAGATTACAGTAACTCAGATACAATTTGCCAAATACATTTATTTAAAAGTCTCCCTTGATTTTTATTCTTCTTTAAATAATCATTTAACTGCATCTTTCACAAATAACTTCTAACATTTTCTAACATTTAGTTTCTCTAACAAACTAAAGTTTGGCAGACAATTTAGTGTGTCGTTTGACAGATAAGAGTTTAGGCAATAGTGTGGGCAGCAGACTGAGGACCAAACGAGGACATGATTTCAGCTGAATACATGTTGCACAACATTTCAATTTACCACTGGGAAGTTTTTTTTTAAATAACCAAAAAAAAAAAAAAACTGCATTCTCAAAGAACAAACTGCTCCTCAGAGGCTCATACATTCATGTCAGTCAGAAATAAAAAAACAACAATAAAAAATCACTATTAATATATATAGTTTGTTACATTTTACCTTTAAATGAGTTAAATTTACTCGATTGTCTGCTGTTTCATGATGTCTCAGTTACTTATCTTTGTACATAACCAGCCAAACGTGGAAATAAGCCAGAAAAATATATGTAGTTGACCACATAATGTCCATCTATTGGCACTTTTATTACGTATTTAATTCTTTAGTTAAATAAAAAGAAAAAATGCAGAAAAACACCAACAGCATCTATCAGATCATTAAACTTGTCAGTTTAGGAGGACAGTTGTTTGCAACATGAGCTCATGTTGCAAACAACTGTCCTCCTAAACTGACAAGTACATTTATTAAGATAGTTAAAACAGTGGTTCCCAAACTTTTTGTCTTCTGACCCACAAAATATTCATGGCAAAAACTTGTGAGCCCAAATATTACTGGTCTGAGTACACAAACTTCGTTAATAACCCTAAAAACACAGGCTTTTTGACAATCTAAACAGTGTGTACACAAATGTGAATACTTATTTTTACTTATTTTATGTTTTTGTAATAATTATAGGGAAAATATTATATCAGCAATTATTTTATTATCCTTTAAATTGATTTCTGGAGATTATCCAAGGTGCTTCATGACCCATAATTGGGTCCCAAGTCCAACTTTGGGAACCAAAGTGCAGTGGTTCCCAACTTTTCAGCTTTTGACCCACAAAATAACAGCAGCAGAGACCTGTGCCCCCAACTATTTTTGGATGATAAACATTTGTATCAGGTCAACTAAACATGGGCATAGTAACAATATTTTTTATACACATTTATCCATTTTAAATACACTAACCTCACTCCTTTGAAACAACTAAGGCAAAAATGTAATTAATTCAGAAAATCTTTTCAGGACCCCACCTGGATGTTTTGGGACCCAACTTCGGGTCCCGACCCCAACTTTGGGAAACATTGCTCTAAAATATGCATTGGAGTTAATTTAAAAAGTCACGTATGTTAGTATGTCAGGTGTTAACGTCAGATTTTTATGCCCTGGCTGTTAGTAAAACAAACTGGTGTTGGATCAGTGAGTGTTCTTCCTCTATGGCAGCAGGAAATGGACACACAACCAACAATGTCAACTGATTCATTTTAAAGTGGTTTTACAAGCCATGTTGAATTATTTTTAATCATAAATGTGTTTTTTTTATTTAAAAATGTTGAGACTGAAATTGTTGGAAAAATATGCGTTGTTCAAAATGGTATGTCTGAATAAACAGGATTCAGCTGGATTTCTTGTTAAAACTTTATTTTTGATCCTCTGACTCCAATCAGGTTCATTCAGCTCTCAGCAGCACAGGCCTCAGMKTACAACCTTGGGCCAAATTAAAACAAACACAGGAGCTCTGCTCTGTGCAGACACTCTGCAAAACACTGACAACTTCTTTTTACCATAATAATGAATTCAGCTTAAAATGTTCATCTCTTCCTGGTACATCCCAGGAGGTGTTACCTTTTACGTCAGACGTCTGAACGTCACTCAGTTTTGTTTAGGCTCAGAGAAAAACCACAAGATAACACACACACCAACTCTGTCAGCTTCAACCTCACAGAATGAAATCATCAGAAAGTATAAAATACAAAACTGACGCTAATGTTCAATTAATCAGTTACAAAATTTCTTCAAAAAAAATGGATAGTATCTAGTATTGTTATTGACAAAGCGACTGGTAATGTTTCGTTAAGAAAATGCTGGAAAAACCAGCCAGGTGTGGCAACRCGTGTCATTTGTTTGGGCTCCTGAACTACAGGTTTATTTACTGACAGTGTCCTCATTTACAATCAAAGGTTTTTAGGTCATTGTTTGTGTGCACAATAAATAAATTGCATAATGATTTGTTTATTTATTTTGTCAATTTAAACTAGAAGAAGACAAACATGTTTATCACGTGTCTGTGTAATGTTGTTTGGGCAATGTTTCTTTAACGGATTTCCTGCAGCTGAATAGAATGACCTGCGTGAACGGCCAAAAGTCCATTTGGTAATGTGTTTRATTTACCTCCAAGAACAAGGAAATGTGATAAAACATGAGGAAACACCAAGCTGCAATAAAAAACAGATCTCACTGTGGTGCTAGAAAATCTGTGAAAACTTTAAACTTTTGAGATTTTGAAAAGATCCTGTTGAGACTTTGTCGAGTCASTTTGGACTACTGTTATATAACTTCAGTCTCAATGTTATAGGGGTTTACGACAGCGCCATTTTATAATCCTTTACATTGCATTTTCTTGTTATCATGACATACTGTAAATGTGGTGATATTCCTGCTGGATGTGCCCCAGGTTATACAGGAAGGGCTACTACTGCTGTGGGTATTTGTGCTTCTAAATGACAATAGAAATCCTTTTAAATAACCTTGTGATGTGCAGCTGACAAGAAAGTGCTCAAACATTTTAAAAGCTAGCGAGGCAGAGCTCTGCTGCAGAATAGATGTTTTATCAACCCTGTGTCCTAGGTGACAGGCCACACAAAGAATGATTGAAAACAAGAAACTCAGTGTCCCTCGGTTGGACATGGGTCACCAGGGTCCCTGGTGGGTGGGTGGATGGATGGATGGATGGATGGACGGATTGGATGGATGGGTGGGTGGATGGATGGATGGATGGATGGATGGATGGATGGATGGATGGATGGATGGATGGATGGATGTTAAAAATTTGGTCCCCAATCTAACCAAGTCTACCGGACTATCAGGTGTGWAAACACTCTTGGCTTTGTAACATTAAAAAATCTATACTGATAATAAACATCTTTGTGTTTGTGTTTTATGGATTTTAGAAGGAAGTTGTTTTTTCACCACGTCCGTCTTACCAGAAAGAGATCATTCTGTAATGCATTTACCTTAATAAAAACATTTCTAACCAGAAACAAAACACCATAAAAATCATTTCTTGTTTGACTTTTGYGCAGTGAACAACAAATCCAAGGGTCAAAGGGCAAGATATTACTCACACGTGGAGACGTTTTATTTTTCCTTTGAATTTTCTTATCAAATGCTGCCTGTCGCTGATTCATTTAAACGTCTGATCTGTCTCACGATGACCAGTTTTATTATTATGTTGTCATTATAAAATACATACAYGTGATCTCATCTCACCTCATTTATCCTTAAAAAACTGCTAGTTTATTATTGTTTGTGTCTGAGGAACTAAAACCAAAACAGTTATGKTCAAATTTTGATTTAAGGAAGAAATTAATTTAAATTGTTTTAAATGCATTGTGAATGATGATGGAATTTCTGTGTCAAGCTGATGTTGTGCAACATTATTTGCTTGCATATTCATTTTCTTTAGCTTTATTGCACACACGTGATTATGAGGAACAGCCACAGAGCTAATAAAATTCTATACTGCCAGAAAATATAAGTCACAGTTCTGTTGTTACCAAAACAACTTGCAGACACAGCATCCAAGGTAAGAGATAAAGATAAAGAGATAATAAATATTTTACTAAAAAATACTTACAATAATAGTTTTGTATACTAAAACAGATTAGGTTACCTTTTTAACCTCTTTTGTAGAAAATATCGTATTTCACAGTGACATTTATTTTCAGTACAATAAGTTATTTGCAAGATGAAAGTTTTTGACTTTTATGTTTATCTTTATATCAGATGATGCTGTTGGTGCTTATCCTGGTGACATCATGTGCTGCTCTTCCTCA